GGTTGAGTAGTCAGGGGCTTTTTGATAAAGTTGCATGGATATTCATTTTGTTGGAAGATGTTGTATAGGTGGTCTTTTTCCTTTTTCTGCTATTCTGGGTTGCTGCAATGTGTTTGTGTTTGCTTGAATAATGTTCTTACAAAGTTCCTCTTGTAGGAAGTTGGGTTGTTACTTTGGTAATAGAGTACTTGGTTGGTGTGGGTCGTCTTCCAATAAACTTGGGTTTCTAATTTCCTGTTGTTTCCTCTGCTGATGAAGATATCCAGGAAGGGTAGTGTGTTTTCTTCCTCTCTGGTGAATTTTATTCCTTTGAAGAATTTCAGGAGGAAGTTCCAGTCTCAAATTGGCATGCTAAAGGTTGCCAATAGACAGATAGTAACTGATTCCAAGAAGATAAAACAAAGATGGAAGGAGTATACTGAAATTCTGTATAATAGAGATGCCAACATCCAAGATACTTTAGAAAATACTCTCTACTTACAAAAACCTCTAGTACTAAAAGATGAAGTTAGATCCAGTCATTACGAAGTCAGATGGCTACAGGAACTGATGGAATACTCATAGAAATATGGCAAGCACAGAAGAATTATTATTCTAATTAAGTTATGGCAGCAAATCTGGAGAATGACACAGTGGCTAACAGATTGGAAGAGGTCAGTTTTCATACCAATACCAAAGAAAGGACGCTTAACTGAATGTGTAAGCTACTGCATTGTATCTTTAATTTCACATGCTAGCAAAATAATGCTTAGGATATCCAATGCAAATGACAGCTGTACATGGAAAAAGAGGTGCCACATGTTCAAGCTGGTTTTAGAAAAGCGTAAGGAACACGAGACATTATTTCTGATGCATGCTGAATAATTGAGAAAGCCAATGAGACAGATCAGACACAGGCAAAATCGGAACAACTGGAGCAGTCAGATGATGACGTACAGCCTCCAAGCCCTCAGACTTGGCAAGTAGAGTGGAGAGCAGAGCAAAGGCACTCAGTGAGGCTTCTTGCCAAGGAAGGAGTAATTATCTTAATTAAAGATAGCTGACTACAGCCTGATTTAAGAGGCAGCCCTGGCCCATGTTTCTCCGTTGGAAACAACTGTCTGATCTCCTGCTCTGGCTTGTCATTCCTGTGAATTCTGCTTATGAACCCTGAAACTTTGACCTTCGGACTAGATGACAAACTTGATTTGGCTCTCTGAAATTCAGACTGGATTTTGACTTCTCTTCTGCACATTCATGCTGAAAGTGAAACAACGCAGGCAAGCTTTCTTTCCCAGAGACTGTTTTGATTTACATTCCTTTCGTTATCTGTGGTTATCTACTCAGCCTTGAGTAAATTGTTATTTTCACCTAGCAACTGTGTGTGTGTATGAGTTTGAAAGCTGAAACAGGACACTTGATAGCCAAGAGTCTTCCCCAACACCAACATTCAAAAGCATTAATACTCTTTTTATCCTGCTTTTCCAAAGTCCAATTTCCACTTCCATAGAGTGTCACAAGGAAAAACCACTGCCTGTAAATTCTAATCTTTGTAGTTATAGACACATCATGGCATCTGAATATGATTTAAAAGACCTTCATTGTTGCTCTACCAAGTGCTAGTCTGAGGTGTATTTCTTGACTACTTGTTCTTTTCCTGTTGATAGCTGATCCTAAAAGAGAAAGCTACCCACCATTTCACTAACACCATTGGCTTGGTGTCTCCTGAGGCTGACATTCCACTGATTCAGCTAGAGCAGCTTATTCCTGGGCCATGACATGGAGAATCAAGACTCTTGATAGCCAAGAAAACAAACAAATGGATCATCAAACAAATCAACCAGAGTTCTCACTTGAGGCACAAATGACTAAGCTGAAATTATTGTAGTTTGGACACATTATATAAAGACTTAGCTCTCTGGAGATGTCTATAATGGTGGGAAAGGTGTAATGAAACAAAGAGGAGGACCAGCAGCAAGGTGGATGTACTCAGTTACAGTAGTGATGGGTGCACATTTAGAAGTATAGAAGTTTGGGGACAGATTATGTTGGAGAAAATCTATCTGTGTGGTCGCTAAGAGACAACATTGACTTGATTGTACATATTCAGTCCTTTGGCCAAACAGCTAAACCACTTCATTCCATCTGAGCTCAGAAAACTCAAATGGGTCATGAATAACTTGGGCAAGGTTGCTGACTTCTTGGTGGGGTGGTAGGCAAGAGTGCATCCACTTCTTAGCTTCAGGCATAGTGGTCATTAGGCCACTAGGAGGCAACTGTGGCTTGAGAACTTGAATGAGGAATGTGTGGAATTTGAGTCTAAGTCAGACCTCATATTGGACTTGTCAAGAACAGTGAACTATTTGGATAGTCCCAGACAATATTGTAATTGAGATAAAAGATGAAATAAAAATCCTATCCCTAGTCAATAGTTGATTTAGTTGCATACTTAACTTAGCCGGAAGTAGTAAATACAATTTCAGTGAAATCCAGAAGGGCATCTGATATAAGAATATAAAGAAAATTTGCCCCGTATATTGATAGTTATATAATGAGTCATTAAAATATGTGTTACTGGATTGATTTGTTCATTGATTGTCAATTGCCAGTTACCTATCCAAAATGCTGAAGATGTTTTTCCTGCAATTTACTATAGATGATAATATATTTTTTCTTTTTTCTTTATTATAAGATGATTACAAAAAATAAAGAGAGAACCAGAAGAGTGTATAATGTGTGTTAGTACTCCGTAGATGATAATAAAATGTGGCACACCAGTCATCTTAGCCTGGTAGGATTTTGTTCATGAGTCATTAGAACATGGCAGCTGTTCCTTGGAGACCAAAAGGCATTCTTTCAAATTGAAAGAGCTGGCAAAAGCTGTTTCCAGTGGAAATTGCCAGTATCCTTTTGTTAAATCCAAGGAAGACAAATAATTGGCTCTACCTAAGCCATCTAGACAGTCATTGACTTGGGACATTGGACTTTTGAATTTTGTTTTCCCCAGTTGGCTTTGGTACCCACATATTTGGGGAACACCAGTCATTTATGGATAGTTCTATTATAACCGTTTTGAGCATCTTTTTATTTTTTCCCTAATACCTCTTTTAAATATTTGGGGATTCTGTAAACTCACTGTCTGATTGGTCGAACTTCCCTAATATCTATATGACATTTTACTGCACCAATTAAACCCAATTGAATGGCAAATATTCCTGGAAATTTTTCCAGCACCTTTCTTTCTGTTGGGACTGGGACAACCAACTCAGTGTTCATGTTGATCTTTCCTTAGGAGGATAGAAGTATTATACAGTTGCAAGAAAAAGTATGTGAACCTTTTGGAATTTCATGTTGTTCTGCATTATATTTATCAATACTCTTGACTTAGATGACGGTCAGATCACATTTTATGACAAATTAATGCAGAACATCATGAAATTCCAAAAGGTTCACATACTTTTTCTTGCAACTGTATTTCAAGCTTAGTCTAATAGTTTGGATTTTCTTTCCCTTGGGACTATAAAAAATGTTCCAGATGTCCTTGTATCATACACTTTTTCTAATAAATTTGCATGATATACTTTCCTTTTCCCTCGTTCCAATTCAGTCCAATTATTTCTGTGTTTCAGATTGATTTAAGATTATGGTATATTCTGAATCTGTTCTTACTTTTCCATTGTGGATATAATAATAAACTATTGTTAATTGAAGACTTCCTAATTAATTATAGCATGCTAAGGAGGGAAGGAACAGCATAAGTTTACAACAGAGAAGCATAATATTCTTGCATAACTTATGAAAATATTTACATCCAAACTAGATGGTCTGTTAAATCTGTTAAGTCATTCTAATATGTTCATATGAATTAAAATGTTCTAATTAATTAAAGTTAAAACAGAGCAATAAGTTCTGATATATAGGAAGATATTCTAAAAAATATGCATTTCTAATACTTTCATTGCAGACTAGCCCTTTAGGCCAAATTTAGAGAATTCTTTGCTTTTTGCTTTTTCATTTTGATTATTTTGTCCTAGTTTTGAAATTAATATCCAGATACTTCAAATGTCTGTCTATACATTCTTATCCAAGCCATTGTAAAAAAAAACATATAAAAGGCATTCACAACCACATTTACAACGGCATGTTGCTGGTGTTTTGATTTTTACAAATTTGTTACTGTTTTTCTTTCAGGTGCTCAGATTATTGACTTGATGATGCTTGTGATAGATATAACAAAAGGGATGCAGACTCAGTCAGCTGAGTGCTTGGTGATTGGACAGATTGCATGCCAAAAGATGATAGTGGTTTTGAACAAAATCGACCTTCTTCCAGAGGTTAAGCGACAGGCTGCTATTGACAAGATGACCAAGAAAATGCATAAGACCCTGGAAAATACTAAGTAAGTAACCTGTCCAATCTACTTACATATGCTTTCTATGCCACATTAGGAGTGTTTTGATGAAATTCCTTGAATTGAGAATACTTTTTTAGAATAAATCTTTAAATTGAATATGTTAGTTAAGATGAAACAGAAGTAGATGTTTTGTTGCTGTTGAGAGCCATAGTTGCTCAGAGATAATCTGCTGGAAGCTAAATCAATTGTGGGTGGGACCATAGGTAAAAGTGAGTGGGGACACCTGTTGTCATTCTGATATACTTTTTTTTTTTTTTTGACATCCCCTGCTCTGCCACAAAGGAGTAGCTTTTAGCAGGTAGAATGGAAGAACAAGTCTTGAAAGAAAATCAACATGGATTCTGCAAAGTAATTCTCCTCACCTTCTAGAGTCTTTTTGAGACTGTCAATTGAAATATGAATGAGGGTTGACCTATACTTAGACTTTCTAAAGTTTATTACTGAAGTTCCTCATAAGAGGCCCTTGAATAAACTTTGTGATTGTGGAATAAGCTGTCCTAACCTTTTATGTAGTCCTTGCTTAACAGTGGTAATTGGAACAGGAATTTTCATCACTAAGTGATGTGGTCGTAAAGTGTGACATCATGTGACTGCACTGCTAGCAACAGTAGTTCCGACAGTCTCCAGTTACCATTGTTCAGTGAGGACCTTGCGGGTTGTTAAGTGAGGATCTCATGTGATTGCAACTTCTGACTTCCTGCCAGCTTCCCCATTGATTTTGCTTGTGAGAAGCTGACAGGGAAAGTCGCAAATTGCAATCATGTGACCACAAGATGCTGCTATGGTTGGAAATCCAGGCCAGTTGCCAAGTGCCTAGATCATGTTCATGGGGGCACTGTGACGGCCAGAACTTTGAGGAATTGTTTAGGGCTATTGTAAGTTTGAACAGTCGCTGAATGAGTGGTCGTTAAACAAGGGTTACCTATATTGTTAACTGGCTAAAAATTAGAAAATAAAGAATAGGAATAAATGGGTGATTTTCCCAGTGGAGTGAAGTAAGAAGCAAAGTTCCTCAAGGATTTGAATTGGGAGCAGTGCTTTTTAAAGTATTTATAAATGATCTTGACTTAGGAATAGGCAGTGAACTAGCCAAGTTTGCAGATGATACCAAGCTGTTCAGGGTGGTAAAAACCAAAAAAGCTTCTTTAAACTAGACAAATGGTCAAATAAATGACAAATATGATTCAGTTTAAATAAGAGTAAAGTGATGTAATTGGAGCAAAAAATTTTTTTTTATAAATAACTCAAGGTAGCAAACATACCTAATACTCCTTCCTCCTCCTATTTTCCCCATAACAACAACTCTGTCATGTGGATTGGTCTGAGAGAGAATGATTGGCCCAAAGTCAGCCAGCCAGCATCCATACTGAAGGCAGGACTAGAGCTCATAGTCTCTTGGATTCCATTGCTGGAGTCTGAGCTCTTTTTAACTGACTAGGAAAAATATCTTGGTGTTATAATGGGTATGTCAACAAAGATACTGATCAGCTATGAAAAAGCGAATTCCAGGTAAAGATCATTAGGAAAGGAACTGAAAATAAGCTCTGAATATAATTTTGCCTTTCTACAAATTTATGGAATATGTTATCTGAAATATTGTGTACAGTTCTAGTTACCACTTTTGAAAAAGGATATAAGAAAGCTGGAAAAAGCATAGAAGAGGGCAATCATGATGACTGAGTAGCCCTAAACAACTTTCTTATGAGAAAAGATTAGCATGTTTGGGACTTTTTAGCATAAAAAATGATGAAGGATGGGGTCATGATTGCAATATATAAAATTATGTGTGGTGTGGAGAAAGTGCATAGGGAGGTTTTTTTCCCTCCTCTCAAAACACTAGGACCAGGAGTCTATAAATGAAGCTGCTTGATTTAGAACAGAGAAAAGAAAATATTTCTTCACACAGTGCATAATCACACAGTGTGGTGATGGTCCTTAATTTGGTTGGCTTTAAAGGGGGATTGGATGCATTTATGGAGGACAGATTTATCAAGGTCTGTCAATTTTGAAGACCCAGTAAGTACCATCTTGGGTTGCTGTTGAGAGTAAGGAAGATGACCTTGACATAGTTATGCCAGTTCTATTGCCAAGGCATCAGTGGACAGTTGTCCCAGGGAAGTTTGACAATGTACTTTATTAAACTTAAAAAGTGCTTGGAAACGGATAAACTGCCTGGATTTTTGGGTGGAAAACATGGCAGACTGACATGTCCCCACGAAACTGGAGATGACGCTAAGGCAAATACTAATAGCCAAGTGAAACGCCCAAGCTAACAGAGCTTTCCCAGATAAGGGGAAGCCTTGAGATTGCCCACTTGAGCTCCAAAGGGCAGCTTCATGGGGGAAAGCCTGCAGGATCTGGAGGGAATCTGTCAGTGACTCCTGAGTAGAGCACTCAGAACTGTGGGAAGATACCATGTGCTTGAAGCCTCAGGTGAAGACTGCCTAAAAGACACTAGGTTCAACCAATCCACTTTCTAGTGCACATTTGACAGAAGGAATTTGACAGTGAAAAGAGACCTTCAAATCAATAGAACACCTAAAGCTACGCGGGTGAGTGTGCATTCAACCCATGGGAAGGATTACAGTAAAGAGAGAAAAAAAAGGCTAAAAGGATTTAAAAAACAAATCTTTGCTTAAGATTGAGAGCAGTTCCAGAGGAATTTGATGAAGATATTAGAGAGACAATTATGGAATCTTTGATAAAATTTCTGGAATAGGATGAAGAAGATGGAATCAGAAGTGGACAACGTGTACAGAATTAATACAAAATATACAAAAATGAGAAAAGTACTAAGAGATATACTTGTGTACTTTGTCAGGAAGAAGACAAGAGACCAGGTTGTACAACAACATTTCAATACTAAATTAAGGATAAACAATTCAGAAGTAATTGTATTGAAAGAAATGCCTATTAGAATATTTAAGGAGAGAAGAGAATATACTTTTTTGTCAGGCAAACTTAAATAAAAGACACTATTTTGTTGGGGCAAATTGGAAGGAATAATTGTAACTTTCAATCAACATAGATATCAATTGAATTCAGTTCAAAAGAGAGATTTTTATGAAAGATTTAAAGAGTTGGAGAAGGCACAACTAGACCAGAAGGAACTCTGCAACAAACAAAACAGGAGGAGGAAGAAGATACTACAACATTAGGTGCTACAGGCATAGAATTTTCTAAACTTACAACATAGATATGGACCTTAAATGTTTAAATGGAATATAAATGGGGCTAATGCCCCTCAAAAGAGAAAAAAGGTATTTCATTATTTGAAAAAAAATTAAAACAAGATGTCATTTGTCTACAGGAAACACATATAAGAAAAAAAGATAAAAATATTTAATAAATAAAAATTTGGGACAAAAATTTATATTGGCCGGGATAGCCAAGAAGAATGGAGTTGTTTTGTGTATAAACTCACAACTACAACCAAAATTAATAATAAATAATGAACATGGAAGACGTAGGGCTTGAAATTAAGTGGAATGGAACTAAAATTATGATATTGGGAATATATGTACCCAATGAAAATAAAGCTATATTTTTAAAGGACTTATGGAAAAATTAATAGACTTGAGTTATTAAAATTGGTTTCTGCTAGGAGATTGGAATGGAATGATCTGCCCACAAGAAGATTTCTGTGAAACTTCTGTAAAAGGAATTAAGCCAACACAAGGTAAATTGTCAAAAATATTTTTTGAAGTGATGGAGAATTTCAAACTCATAGACAAATGGAGATATAAAAATGGTAATTCTAGAGAATATACATATTTTCTGAAAGACATAGTTCTTGAGAATAGATATTTTTGGACTTCTAAGAAACTTGCTACATGTACTAACAAAATAGAGATATTACCAAAAACCTTTCAGATCATAACCCAGTAATTTTGACACATAAGAAGAAAGAATGAACTTATAGTTGGAGGCTAAATGAGATTTTGTTACAAAAAAGAGTCAGTGATTGAGGACTGTAAAAGGGAGCTGAAATAATTTTTTCAAAATTAATCTAAATAAAGGTGCAGACATAAGGATAGTATGGGATGCAAGCAAAGCCTTTATGAGAAGACAATTTATACAATAGAATAGTAAACTGAAATGACAGAGAGAAGAAAAGATGCAAAAAATCCTAATAGAGATGAAAATGAAAGAGGATGAATTAAAAAGATCACCAGGAAGGAAAAATATTTCACAGTAAATCAAACTTACAACACCAGCTTTCTATGCTAATAAATGAAAACAAAAATTATATTTATATAGCCGCCCAGAATTGTGTGAGATGGGCAGCTATATAAATGTGACATATAAATAAATAAAATTCACTTTGCTAAAGAGAAGAATTTTGAGTTAGCAAATAAGCCAGAGAAATGGTTAGCATACAAACTGTAAAAAGAAAGTGAAAAGAAAATGATATTAAAATTGCAGAATGGGAATTTTTTGACAACAGATAATGCAAATATACAGAGAATATTTCATAAGTATTACACAAAACTTTATAAAGGAGAAGAAATTTCCATAGCAAAAGCAGGTGAATATCTAAAGAAACAAAATGTACCAAAAATAACAAACAAAAGCAGTTGATGAATGGACCTATAACAATAAGGGAAGTCTGTGAGACCAAAACAAAAACTAAAATAGGGAAAGCTCCTATTTTCAACATTTGAGGATGAGTTGATACAACCATTCCAAAAGATGAATTCCATTTCAGAAAAGGGTAGGATTCCAATCATCATCATCATCATCATCATCATCATCATCATCATCCCACCAATATCATTATTGAACAACAATTATATTTACTATGATTTTAGCTGAAAGGACGAAAAGTGTCCTGCAGGATTTTATATATGTAGACTAATGTGGCTTTTTGCCCAAAAGACAGCTGAGAGAGAATATTAGAAATATTCTGAATATATTAGAAATCTTGGAACAATATAATGAAAAACAAGTCGCATTGATCTTTCTTGATGTGGAGAAAGCATTTG